CGCGCATTGGCGGCTCTTCCTCCTCCTCCTTCTGTTCTTCCTCCTCATCCTCGTTTCTTCTCCTTCCTCTTCCTTCTGATTTCGATCCTCGTCGTCGTCCTCCTCCTGCCCCTCTTCTTCCTTCTCATCCTCGTTTCTTCTCCTTCTGATTCCGATCCTCCTCCTGATCCTCATCTTCCTCCTTTCCCTCCTCTCCCTCGTCTCTTCTCCTCCTCCACCTCCTGATCCTCCTCCTCCTCCTCCTCCTCCTCCTCCTCCTCCTCCTCCTCTTCGTCCTCTCTCTCCTCCTCCTCTCTTCTCCTATTATTCCTCCTCGTCTCTCCTCCTCTCCCTCTTCTCTTCTCCTCCTCCACCTCCTGATCCTCCTCCTCCACCGCCTGCTGATCCTCCTCCTCCTCCTCCAAGCATCCTGCGGAGAGGAAGAGTGGGCGTGCAGTACAGAGGTGTGACCTAACGCCTTGGTTGCCTTGTTTATGGTCATTCTAATGCATCTGCCTTGATGTAAACAACACGGCGACTGCTTGGACGAAGGAACAGGGGAGAGGGGGAGGGCAGGGGAGGGGGTGGTGGTACTGCAGGAGCTTCTCGCAGCCTCTGTAATTGGATGGTGTGGGAAGGGGTGGGTGGTGTGGGGGGTTTGAGGGGAAGTGGTGTAGGGGGAAGGAGGGTGGTGGTGCATATCCTCTGTATCATTTTCCTATCTTCCTTATAATTTTGTCTTACCGTCTTAGTCTCTTATTGTTTATGTCGTCTTCCTCGTTTTCCCTCTCGTCGCCCTCCTCCTCCTCCTCCTCATTTCCTCTTATCTTCCTCCTCATTTTCTTCGTCCTCAAACCTTCCTTCCCGCCCCCCCCCCTACTTCCCCCATCTTCATATTAGCATCCCCCGCCCCCACCGCCGCAAAAAGGGCAAGGCGCACCTGTCCTCTCTGGTGAAGTGATGGGCGTGCGTGGTGCCTGCGCGAGGGCGGTAGGGGGTGGCGGAGGGGAAGGGGGGGGGGTGGGAGGGAAGGGGGAGGAGAGAGAGGGAGGAAGGGGAGATAAAACTGGAGATGAAGGGAGGGATGGAGAAGAGAAAGGGAGAAGGGAGAGGGAAGAGAGATAGGGCGAAAGGGGGAGAGAGTGAAAGGTGGGGAGAGGGAGGAAAGAGAAGAAGAAAGGGGAGGAGAGAAAGTGAGAGAGGGAGAACGGAGGAAATGAAAGAAGAAAAGAAGGGGTTGAATGGGGGAGGGAATGAGGAGAGAGAAAGTGTGAGGAAGGATGGGGGGGAAGAGAAAGAGAGATATAAGTGGGGAGGAGGAGGAGGAAGGAGGGAAAGGGAAAATTGTTTGGGAAAGGAGTCTAAGGAGATTAAGATGGCGATCAGATACAAGAGAGAGAGCGAGAGCGAGGGAGAACGTCCTCATTAATTTACGTCTGACGAGAAACTTGTTTATTTTGGCAGCCTTGTTGGAGGTGATAACGATCCCGCCCGAACGTAGGCATTCTCTCATATTCTCTGTCTCTCTCTGTCTGTCTGTGTCTGTCTGTCTTTCTCTTTCTCTGGTCTTTCTCTTTCTCGCTCTCTCGCTCTTCTCTCTCTCTCTTCTCTCTCTCTCTCTCTCTCTCTCTCTCTCTCTCTCTCTCTCCTCTCTCTCTCTCTCTCTCTCTCTCTCTCTCTCTCTCTCTCTCCCCCCCTCCCTCCCTCCTCCTCTCCCTCCCTCCCTCCCTCCCCTCTCCCTCCCTCCCTCCCTCTCTCCCTCTCCCTCTCCCTCTCCCTCTCCCTCTCCCTCTCCCTCTCAGAGCGATATGCCAAGAGTACGCGCTTGCAAGCAGATGCCCGGTAAAGAATGTTGCAAATATGTAGGTGAAGCACAGGGTCACAAGTGCGCATTTTTAGATTCTTGGTCTTTGGGCGTTTTTTGTTCGCTTCTGAGAGTCGACAAAGTGAACGTGGGAAACCTTCATTTCTCCGCGATCCAATTAGGTTGTTTTTATAGCCTCCGTCCGCGCGGGGAAATCTTTTTCTTCCTGTCAAAGTTTTTCCAGAAATTACTGCGACACTGAATGTTCGACGTGGCATTTAACGCTCGCGTATATATTCCTCCTCTCTGATTTTTATGACGCGCCCCCGTCCACGGTGTATGCCCACGTGAACATTAGTGTCCGCGCTGGAGATGTTCATGAACGATCCGGTGCAAGGGTTTGTGGGCCGCGGCGCTTGCATTTCATTTTCCCGTCGGCGTTGGCGAGCGTTTCCGCCACATTCGTCCGTTCCCGAGAGTCGTTCGTTGCGGCGGGCGTACGCTGTGGTGCCGGCCAGGTGGCGCCTTGCTGGGGAAGAGGAGGTGGCTTTTTGTGCGGCGCCCCCAGCACGTGGCTCCACCCGCGTCCCGCTTTTTTGCCCATGTCCTGTGACTCCCCGCGCCCGCCCGCCCGCCTGTCTTCGCTCGGCCCCACACCCGCGGCGACAGCATCTCCCTCGCATCACGTCCTTTCCTCCTCGATTAAGGCTGGCTTCCCGAAAGGGGGCTGGGGTGGGGTGGGCGGGGGGGTATGCTCTCATGCGCCTTTTACTGGGCTTGATATTCAGACTTTTCAACAGACCCACACGATAAATTTATCTCGGCTCGGAGCTGAGAGTTGCTGCTGCTGCCCTCGAGGAAACTAAAGGCGGTGCGCGGTTATGGATGACGGAAAGATGCGTGGTTATGTTTTTTTTTAAAGATTTTTAAGTTTTCAGTTTGGAGAGTAAACAAGACGCGGACACCCAGCTGTTGCGCTTTGACACACACGTTTTTTTTTTTCGTTTTTTTTTAAATTTACTCCCGAAGTCAAACTTTATTATTTGCCTTCAAGGAATTGACACGGTTGAGTTTTGGCGGAGATTCGAAGTGACTGTGCTTTCGGAGGGGAACCGGGTTGCGCCATTAACATTCGGAACGATTGCAGGCCTGTTGGTGTGCATGTGCGTTCCGTTGTTGCATCCATGACACTTATTTCCGCGCACAAATTGAGTCACGCCTGGCAAGCCAAACGACTTCGGTCAGAGTGAGATCGACCCGGGTGCCTAAATCTCTCTCTCTCTCTTCTCTCTCTCTCTCTCTCTCTCTCTCTCTCTCTCTCTCTCTCTCTCTCTCTCTCTCTCTCTCTCTCTCTCTCTATCTATCTATCTCTCTCTCTCTCTCTCTCTCTCTCTCTCTCTCCCCCTCCCTCCCTCTCCCTCTCCCTCCCTCTCCCTCTCCCCCTCCCTCTCTTCCTCCCTCTCCCTCTCCCCTCTCTCCCTCTCTTCCTCCCTCTCCTTCCCTCTTTCCCTCCCTCTCCCTCTCTCTTCCTCTCCCCTTTCCTCCTGCCCCTCTCCCTGCTGTAATGAGTGAGGGCGCCAGGTAGCATCAAGCGTTTACGTTGGCACGCGCTGATGGCACCATGCCCCCCCCCCTCCCCGTCTCCCTCCCGTTCCCACCTGGCTCCCCCAATCCACGTACTCCTGTTTACTCTTGCATTCCTATTTTGCGTGTTTGTGCGCTACGTAAAGGTACCCCGTTTTGTTGTTGTTGTTGTTGCTTATGCTGCTGCTCTGTTTGTTTATAATCAGGAGGGTTTGTTGGGTTTGTTGAGTTGGCGATCGGGCTTTTAAAACAAAGGGAGGTCTTTGTGACTCGCGAAGGTTGGATAAAATCAGATGTGACTGACTCATTAGGTGATCAGGAGGAAAGAGAAGCGAGAAAAAAGGCGGTTGTTAGTTTTAGCATGGATGACGAGTGCGAGTGTTTACCTTGGTGGGGGTCCAAGGCTTGCGTGGCACAGTAGAACACAGTCTCTCTCTCTCTCTCTCTCTCTCTCTCTCTCTCTCTCTCTCTCTCTCTCTCTCTCTCTCTCTCTCTCTCTCTCTCTCTCTCTCTCATATAGAAGATAGAGGGAAAAGTATACATTCTTTTCCTTTGACATTCTCCACTTTTTCATAAACAGACAGGGAGCCACAACTACGAATACACGCACTCAAATGCGCTCACATACAGCAGAGGAGCTTAGCTAGTGACGCAGCGCGCGTGCTTGTGTGTGTTTCGGGAGAAGTTCGCCGCCGGAAACTTCACGTCCGAGATTTAGGTGCGACGTGTCCAAGAGGAGACACGTGTCTCCTGAGGCATCGCGCGGAGCCGTAGAAGCTACTCGACGGGCACTCACCCGCGCTGACACACTCGCTGCGCCACCTGGACACACACACAGGGGCCCACGCCGCCCCTTCATGCGAGATGGGTGAAGCGGGAAGGCGTAGCATGGGGATTTAGAACCAGCGGGTGGGAAGCGGCAGCGGGCTCTTAGGCGCGGAGGAGGCCAGCGCGGGGCGAGCGGACGGCGGCGCTGAGGGGAGTTCGAGTCCGGGATACTTATTTTTGGCGGCGGAGAGGGACGCATTGGCTGAAGGCAAATCACGGGCTTGGAATTGCCTTCGTGGACGGAAGAGCCTTGGGTTGGGTGGGATGGGTTGATAGGCGGGAGCGGGTTGGGCGGCGGGCGGCATGGGTAGGGTGGTGGGTGTATATATAGCATGGGGTCTGGGTCGCACGCCGCTTGTGTATTAATAACCCAGCCCAGATGGACAGACGCCACCGGTGCTACCTCGCACCAGCACCACCACCGTAGCACTGAAAATTGTCGCTGTTCACGAGATGAAGTGCCATCAACACCTGCTGCCACCACACTCGCGCCGCCCGTCATATCAAACGCCACCCACATGCACGTAATACATGACACGCCTCCTTGACCTGTACACGGCATTGGCCTCTTCGCCATGACGTTTCCTTTGCATAATGGCCAAGTGCGTCTCGCCCCCGCGTGCCGCGCTGATTGGCCCTCCCGGACGCTCTACGCAAGCTTCTTTGATGCGATTATTTTGGCCTTTGGTTTTGCCTGGGTTGCGAGACACGCCGCGCATTTGGAGTGAGAGTGATCCAACGATTAATTAATGTTCTCTTCCTTTTCAGTTCAACTTCGTGGGTCGAATACTAGGGCCGCGCGGTATGACGGCCAAACAGCTAGAGCAAGAGACCGGGTGCAAGATCATGCGCGGTGAGCGGCTCAATGCGGGACAAAAAGAAGGTTAGTCTCCCCCCCCCCCTCCTGCACTCTCCCCTCACTCGCCAAGGCACACAAAGAACTGGAAACTTGCTCTACCGAATTGTAGAATATAACTGTTTGAGTTGTTTGTTGTGTCTCAATCCTTTTAGCTTTTCCCTCCACCTTTCATCCATGCCTGCCACTTTCTTAGTCTCTCTCCCTTTCTCTCTCTCTCTCTCTCTCTCTCTCTCTCTCTCTCTCCTCTCTCTCTCTCTCTCTCTCTCTCTCTCTCTCTCTCTCTCTCTCTCTCTCTCTCTCTCTCTCTCTCTCTCTCTTCCTCCCTCCCTCCCTCCCTCCCTCCTTCCCTCCCTCTTTCCCTTTCTCTCCCTCCCTCTCTCTCTCTCCCTCCTTTTCCTCTTCTCTCCCTATACCTCTACCACTCCTCCCTCTCCCCCCTCCCCCTCTCTCTCTCTTCTCTCTTCCTTTACTCCCTCCCCCTCCCTTTCTTCTCTCTCTTCCTTTCCTCACTCCCTTTCCTCGCTCTCTTTGCTCCCTCTCCCCCTTCTGTCTCCCCCTTCCCTCTCCTCTCTCCTCCTCTTTCTTCTTTTTACCTCCTCTCCCTTTCTTCATTTAACTTATGAAATATATTTAATACACAGTTGAATGGATATTCTTAACATTATCATGATATTTTGTTTGATATATATTACATGCTGCAAACTCAGGAGCAGGACTAGATTGTATGAAGAGGGATTTAACAGGATGTAAGTTTAATGTTAGTTTGAATAGTATTGTTCATAAGAGGAAGATTTCCTTGTTTATTCTATATGTATTTTGTCTATTCGGATGTTCATTGTCTGTGGTTTATCATCACCAAACGCAGATTTGTATTTCTTTAACATCCTGGAAGTCTGTTGTAGATGACAGATTGTCTGTGTATTAGAGTATTGATAATGTAGTGAAAATGTGTCCGTTTTTGTGCTTGTCAATGTTGTACTGCATGTAAACCTTTGGTATTGCCCTTATAGGAAACTTGTTACAAGTATTCAGAACCTCTTGACAAAGGTAACTAACAGCAATGATTTATGAATTGTGAAACAGGAGGAGCAGAACCGCGGCAAACCCAACTGGGAGCACTTAAATGAGGAATTGCATGTTCTCATTACTGTAGAAGACACAGAGAACAGAGCCAAACTTAAAATTCAGCGGGCAATTGAAGAGATCCGAAAGCTGCTTGTTCCATCAGTAAGTTGTGCATTGTTTATTTATCTAGTATATGAATGTAATGTATATAAAGTTTATTTATCTATTATATGAATGTAACACATACACACACACATATGTAACACACACACACACACACAACCACACACACACACACACACACACACCACACACACACAACACACACACACACACACACACACACACACACACACACAACACACACACACATACACACTACACACATACACACATACACACATACACACACACATACACACACACATACACACACACATACACACACACATACACACATACACACACACACACACACACACACACACACACACACACACCACACACACACACCACACACACACACACACACACACACACACACACACACACACACACACACACACAATGTTTTTTCTATTTTTTTCCCATTTTTTCTATTACCTTTAGTTATTTGGTGTTGAACAGACTGTTTTTAAGGCATGTTAGCAGTTTTCATTAGAAGATGATAATATTACAGGCTGATGGTGAAGATGAACTCAAGAAGAGACAGCTGATGGAGCTTGCCATTATCAACGGCACATACAGAGATTCTTCCAGCAAGAATGCAGGTATGTTCTATCTAATGCTTTTAAGCACTGTTTGTAGTTATACACCTTTAGTGTTATAATTTGAATTCCTGCTTGTGACTTTGCTTAAATAATACAAGTTATGACTATAGAGAGGACTGGTGTGTTACTGGCATCATATGCTCTTGGAATTGCACTCCTAACAGCAGTGCAGGTCATATACACACTCAGATGGAGCACCATACTGTAGGAGTATTGCTTTTTGGAGTATCAGAACCTGTTTGTAGTTGCAGTATATGATTTCAGTTCCTAAGAGCACATTTGCCTTGCATGTCTTTGATCAGTCCACACCACTGTACTGGAATAATACAGTCGACTCGTTACAGGGCCACATCCTAACAAAGGCCACTGATCTGTAAACGAAGCCCAATTAACCCCTTTTTAACATTAATTTCAATCACTTATATTGCATTTTGTTCTGGCCATTTCCTTACAGTGGCCTTTTTGGCCTCTGCCCAGAGCAGCCACTATAACGGGGGTCGACTGTACCCAGTGAACGGTATAGTACTCTTGCCGTTTTGATTTATTGCTTATATTAGACAGAGTTGAGGTTACTGTAACTTTAACCTAGAGTTGAAGTACTTAAACTCTCCTTGTTATATTGTAGTTTGTCCTTTGTATGGATTGATAGATCCTATTATATCATTAGACGAATCAATGCATTACTTGTTTCATTTAGATAAAAATGGTTTGAAATAATTTGGGGGTTCTGTTCAATATATCCATTGTCATGCTAAGTCCTCATCACCGAGAAACTTCTTGAAAATTCCACAGTGTGTGTACGAGTTATTTCATAAATGCAACTGGTAATGCAGCTTTATTGATGGCTTAATCTTTCTGAGATACATTATTATGTTTTTTTTATTCCCACAGCTACAATAATATTTCAGACTTATAACAAAAGTTGTAAGACTTCTTATCCAAATGATCTCTTTATAGTGCACCCTCCCAGCCCACCCCAAAAGAAAAGAAAAGAAAAGAAAAAAAAATAGTGTACTTTTGTAAAGATATCCAATTTTTCTTCAGATGTTTAGAATAGATTTTAATTGTTAGAGGGGTCACTCTTACATGGGCTGACAATTTTAGGGTGATAATTCATTGCTTTTATAAAGAGAAGGTTAAATGTGTATGGAAGGTAGTGTACACTATGAAAGAGGAAAAAAAAATTGCAATTATCAATTCGTGTTAGGTTCGCTCAGTGCAGCGAGTGTCTTAGTAAAGTGGAAATTGCAGAGCAGTTTTAGATGGTCATGATTTACAACCGTATTAGAATCTCAACAGCCAGCTTTTATAGTGCACTATAAAGAGACTTCATAGAGTAGATTTTTAACAACTGGATGTCTGAGATTTAATATAACTAATGATTTGCAAGTGTTCCTCTCATTTGCAATATTTTATGAAGTTATAACATAGTCAGGGATTGGGACTCAGATAATAAAACTAAATTCATTGCTTTCTTTTCTCCAGATCTAAAGTCTCATGACTTAAGGGGTATAGTTGTTTTCCATTTTCAGGATGCACTAATTTACTTTGAGGAGTATGTGTGTGTTGGTGGTGGACTGACTGACTAACATGACCTTCTTTGCCCCTTGCCAGAATTTGAGGCACTGGGTCATCTTGCAGGGGAGGCACCACGCCTCATCACGCCAGGAATGACACTCCCGTCTCCGCTGCGCACAACTACACCGCTGGGTGGTCCTCCTCTCATCATGCCTGCAAGGATCCATGTTCCAACTTCAAATGCGCTGATAAATGGAACAGGAAATGCTGGGATGCCGCCACCACTGATTGCTGCAAGTGATGCATCTGCTAGTCTCCTGTATGCTGCTCCATATGCCGCTGCTGCAGAGTATGCTGCCAACTACGCTGCCCTCACCTCCCCCCTCCTCACTGAGTACCCCCCGGACGCTGCTGGTGGGTTGTTTGCCAGATGAACCATGTACTAGTCCACCCACACCACCCACACCACCGCACCCACGCACCGTTCACACACCCACCAAGGGTTAACCACACTATCTGGCCATGTTGCCGCACACAGCATTTGCAGCGTGCGGTGGTGTGTTGCCATGATTTTTGTGGGGCTCGTCTGTTGTGCTAGGGATTCCAGCTCTGGCTTTCACTTGTTCTTCTGTGTATAGGGAAAAAAAAAAGCTTTCCAGCAAAGTAATATAGCTGATATGATAGTGTAACCAAACACTTGTTATTGGCCGAGCTTCATAATTTTGAAAATAAAAAAAGATTTAAGTTATCAAATGTTGCTCATTCAGCGTGCATAATAAGCCCAGTGATTTGTTTATTGCATTCCATTTTGTGGCCAGTGCTTTCATTGTAAATGTTTATGTATGGTGCTTTTTCTACCTCTGAGAAATGTTTGAAAAGAAATGCTTTAGATAACCTGTTTCATTCCCTCAAATATTTACAATGTGACTCAGAGGACTGATCGTTGTGAGGGGTTCTCAGTGCCAAACTTAAACTTGGCAGTGTGCATTATAAGTTACTGAAAATATTTTATAATTCTGCTAGAGTCTGAGGTTGTGAAAGTTGATGGCTCTTATATTTATTTATACTTCATTTGATATAGGTAGTTTGATAGCTCTTTTGCAAAGTGTGTTTTGAAGTTGGTGGCTATAGGCCATGAGTTAATTGATGTTTTCCTTATCTTCAATAAGATGTTACAACATAGGTATATTAGAGATTTAATTATAGGACTGTACTTAATTTGTCTCTTGGTCGTGGTGGTGGATGCAGTAATATAGTTATTCTTGGTTTTGGGTTGGCAGTCTTGCATGCTTTAGATTATTTAAGAGCATCTAATTTTAATCAAATCTATACCCACTTCCTCCTCAGTAATGCATTATTAAACTAGCCTAACTTTCTTGATTTGGAATATAAGCTTAATGTGTGTCCAATAGATATCCTCTTAGTTTTGTCTCAGCCACAGGTATAGGTCATGTTGCAGATTAGAGAAAGTAGCAATATATTTGTATGTATGTGTGTGTGGTGTGTGTGTGTGTGTATATATATATATATAATATATATATATATATAATATATATATATATATATATATATATAAATATATATATATATATAACACACACATATACATAACATATATAATGTATGTATATGTGCATGTATGTATCTATGTATATGCATATGTATGTATATATGTATATGTATATGTATGTACATATGTATGTATGTGTAATTATATGTATATGCATATATATGTATGTATGTGTATATGCATATTTATGCATATATGTATGTATATGCATATGTATGTATGTATGTGTATATGCAAATGTACATATGTTTGTGTGTATAAGCATATGTATGTATGTTTGTGTGTATATGCATGTTTGTATGTATACATATATATGGATGCATATGTATGCATGTATGTATATGCATATGTACATGTATGTATATATGTGTGTGTATATATGTATGAATATATATGTATATATGCAAATATGTACATATATATATTTATGCATATGTGTGTGTAAATATATATGTATACATGCAAATATGTGGATATATCTATGCATATATATGTGTGTGTGTGTGTGTATTATTAGTGAAGATAAACAAAGTTTATATTCAACTAATTTAAATTATAAGTATAATTTGAATACCAACAATAGATTATACATCAATTTCTAATTATGAATGTGACACAAATATGTTTTAGGAAGCTCAGAGGCAATCTGTTGGACACACATGAAAAATTGTCACATTGCCTTCCTAGTTTTCATTATTTTGTTTCATTATTTTACTCTATATTTGTAAAGCCCTTCTGGGGTTTGATAAGTGTTAAGTTTGAAATGTTTATTTGTAAATGCTGAGTAGTTGTTGAAGGTTTAAGATGAATTAACGAGGCCTTGTAGTTTTCCTGTGAGAAAAGAAGCATCCTCTAGAAAGGCAATATGATACAATCCAAAGCTGTTAATAATCATCTTTTTAAACAGGAGCTGGTTTGTGCAATCTTTTAGAATGTAGAATAACACCCAGTAATGGTGAGTTTGCTTTCCCGAGACGGCATCAGTTTTATGCTACGGGGAGGCAGCTCTTAAAGCCATTGGATATTATCCTGATTCTCATTAATGTTCTCATCTTTCCAAATGGTGACAATTTAATAATGAATTTAATAACAGCTACCAAGGGACCAAGTTACTAACCGAGGTGACAGCAACATGGCAAGTCGGCTCTAAGTTCGACCTTGTGCCTCACCTGCTGTGCTAACACATACTCAAACTGCGTTCATAATGGTTCAGCTTTCTCAGAAATACAAGTCACTTGAAGTTTTTCTTATTTCTTTATTTTTCATTGTGATTTAATTGCCTTCATTTCCCATAAACATCTATATCAAGTAGAATACAATAGCATGTTGCAGTAAAGATTTGAAGCAACCAAGGAACGCAGATCGTGAATTGGATTATCAAAGCAATTGCCTTTGTAGGGTTGTAGATTTTATATGAAAGTGGTATTAGTAAAGAGCTAATTACTATTCAGAAAGTCAAGTAAATCATATATCACTTAATGTCTTGCATGCTAGTTTTTATTCTTATTATGATTTATATGATTACCATCATTATTTAATATTTCATTTATATCTCTCTTATTATATATACATATATATATATAACTGTCTGATCTATAGAAATACAGGAGTTTGATAGTAGATGGTTTAGTGCCAAATAAGGGAGCAAGGCAATTGCTTAGGAAACTGTTCCAGATTGATGGGTCTCGTAGAGGCCACTAATGTGCCATAATTAACACCATTCAATCCTAGGTTGAAGAGAGAAGACACGGGTCAAATGCTAACCATACTGTTTATGCCGGGATCACAGTTAATGGTCACTGTTTGAGTAATAGTAGCAGAGGTCATTTCCATAAGATTTGTTACCTTCATTGCTTGTCCTTGAAGTTTTTACTCTGTTTAAGGTCAGATTCACATCAGTTTTTGTGGTTCAGTTAGACATTATTGGCAAAGTAAGTGCTAATCAAATTGTCTGAGTTACATAAGGTTGTATATTGATTTCCTCTGCATTTATTTTTATTTTATTTTATTGTTTTCTTGTTTTTTTTTTTTAAGCTTGATATGTTAATGCCACTTGTTACTATTACTCAAATACTCTTTAACATCTGTGACCTTTGGTGATATTAATGCCTGGTTAGGTAATGGAAGGAACTCTGTGCCACACTGTACAGATTACAAATTTTGGCAACCACTTTTAACCCTTTGATCATATAAGGCAGGGACTAGCTTAAAATGTGACACTACTGATAATGTACAGCTATAAGATTCCCTATGGGATATCAATATATATATACTTCAGATCCAAACCTCTTGGCTGTGCTATTGTTGTTTTCCCATTTTCCTCATTTACAAACAAACCAAACTCTCATCAGCATTGTAGTCACTAAAGTATGATTAAAATGCTTTCATTATCACAAGCCTAGCACAAGCACATACCTAAAATGTACTCTCTATAACTTAAAACAGTTAATTCCTTTGCACCTCATTTCATTTTGATCATTTTTGTTTCATTAAAAAAAAAGTTCATTATCAGTTGGATATAAAGTAATCAAAATGATCATCCATTGACTAAATGAAGTTATAAATAACTAAAATAGAGTGAATTGAGCCAAAAGGTATAACATGGTTTGGAGTATCTCTAACAAAATTCTGTAATATAAGGTTGTTGATGATAGGGTCCTGACGAGGTTAGCAGAAAGGATATTCTTGTTTTGCCAATACTTGTATGTGCAGTTGATAAAAACTATCAAAATATTGCATATTTTATGGTGTTGATAATTACTTGTTTTATTTGCTAAGAATATATGTCATGGACTCTGCTGGGTACATAAATGATCCGTAACCTGAAATATTTATATTGATAACCAAGATTACTTTAATCACTCTCACTAGTCATAGAACTCATTAGGTCTGGTAATGCCAAACAGTTCGTGGTACAGAGTCCCCTAGAAAGAACACATCATTTGGTTCTGGCTTAGAGGTTCCTGCCTCACAGGGCCTTGTACAGCAGCATAACACCACTACTAACAGAACTAACTGGCCTTGATTGTTTCCAGCTGCAGTCTGATTTCGGTGGTGCTATAAATGTACATACACATGTTTGAAATCAGGTTTCCTTCAAGATGTCTTTAATCATGGCCTAGTCTCTTATAGACAGGTTCATATGATCTTTGTGATTTTTTTATCATTTATTTTGTACTGTTGTAGTTTACTTCTTTTTTAGTTACCAGTGAGGACTTTAATGTACTAAAGCAGCTTTTGTCTAGCTTTGATACTGTCATTTGCTTTTGATATGTTATACACGACAGGATTTTGTGGCAAAGTGTCACTCAGCAGCAGTTGTGAATTTTTCTTCTATAAATGTAATATGTTAAATGTACTATGGAGCATAATTATCATGCAAATAGGATGAAATGTGTACTATTTCTTAGTCATAGACAAGAGTATTAGTGCTTTGCATGAATGCAAAATTATTAAGGGGAGCCAAGGCAGAGGCCAATGTTTGTGACAATAGAACTATATTTATTCACGTTCATGCCTACTGTAAGTCCAACATTTTTAAGAGAATTGGGCATAAGTAAGCATTATGATGTCTGAGTTTATGTAGTTCTTTTGTGCAAGCTGTGCCCATCCTTTGCTTGGGCTTGTTTTCTGACACCTAAAGCCGTTGTATGGTGTGTACGTTGCCACATGATGCCATCACGTTGTGTTGTTCAGGTGTAGCGGCTAAGCAGCGGCGCCATTTGGGCCAGGCACGGGAGCACCCCTATCAAAGGACGGGTACGCTCTCGTAGGCCACAACCCAGGTTAGTTGAATGTCACTAAGACGATTGCCCCCATATCATGCTCCCCTCCCTCACTTCCCCCCACCTCAATGGTGAATTTGTATTGCTCGTTTGAAAGAGCATTTAACATGTCTTACTTGAATAGTCTTTTTTTATTTTTTATTTTTTTTGTAATTGCTGCCTTTTAGTACATTAAAATGTTAGTTTTCCTTATTTTTATAAGAATTACTATGACTTAAAAATGCTGACTGTTGATGTGGGGAAATGATTTATTTATATTTTAGTCATGTTTATGATATATATATTTATAATGTTCGGGCGTGGTGAGATTTATTTTTGATTCTCCTTCAGCTTATCAGTTTTATTATCTTTTGAACATTCCGTCCATGCATTTGTTTTTCCAAAGGGCATCCTGATAGCTTGTAATTTATCAGACTATTTTTTTCTGTTTTTCTCTCACTTTTTTTCTTGCTATTAATATTTTGGAAGCATCTTATAAAAAAAATAATGCTTGTCAAACTCAAGTCACTCCTGCCTGGAGTTCAGCAGGAGATTGACTTTGATTTGTTTGCCAAATCTGGAGCTCTTAATTTCCATAGTATTTGAACTTCATAGCTGGAGGAGTTTGCTCACCATGCCCTTTCCTAAAGTGTTTCCAGACCCCATGTGAAGCTGGTCAATAAAGAAAAAAATGTAAAAAAAAAAATTGTTCTCTCATTGCATCATTGACTATTGACTCCTCAGTAGGGATTTCAGATGATTTAAGAGTAGAAGTGGTAAATTATCTCAAGAAAACCCTACTGAGGCTTAAGTTTGCATTATCTTTCTTTATCAAAAAGATCATTAAGAGTAATGACTATGGTTTCAAGTTTGTGACCAGTGTTTTGTCTATTGTTTACTGTTTTTGCAAAAACATTTTAGCTATTGGATTACTGTTTAATTTTTATTTCATGACTATCAAGATTGAAAACTTGGCCAGCTTCACACTATGGGAGTCATTTATCTGCCATAATTTGTTTCCATTTATTGTAATTTAAGTAACTGAAGTTATGCTTTAAGAATGGGTAGTTGGTAAGGACTGTGGTTGCAAAGCCACCTAAGAATGGGGCCCAAGAAAATATTGTGCTCACATTGTTTTTGAAGTACAGGTCACAGCTACAAGAGCCCAAAGTATCTGTATATCTCGGGATCTTTGAATACCAATAAGTCATGAAATAAATTGATGAAGAAAAGTAAATAATGCTTTTCATTCCAAGAAGAAGAAAACAAGACAATAAATATGGATTCTTCAGCTCTGCTGAATATAGAATAAAGATAAGAAGAGGAAAATAGCCATCCTTAGAACATTGAAAATAATTAATCACCAGTTACCTAAAGAGAACTAACCAGCCTTGAGGTATTTGTTGGGCCGTAGTCATGACTAACGTACAAACCTGACTAATGGTCGTAAGGCCGTGTGTGCTTGCCTGAGGAACCAGCCTGTAGTGGGGACAGTAGCCTTAGAGTAGCAGTTGGGGCCAGACCTTTCCTAAGTGCAAGGCCCTGTCATCTTATATTCTAAGCTTAAACAGATATTCCCATTTGCATATTATATCAACAGATTCATTGTTCCATATATATTTTAGAGATTTTCATCTTAAAATTTGTCAACCCTTCTCTGACATTTGTATATTATATACATTGATATCCTCATAGTCTCATTTTACACTGCATTCATATCATTCCCAAAACATGGATTCATAACATTACATTCATACTATGTAACAATAGAACATGAGGTACATTTTCCTGGTCCTTTTCATCTGCATGGCTGTGGGAATGAATGGTGTGTCTACCTCTCTCTTTATTTTCTCATCACTTTTCTCTTTTCTCTTTTTCATGCATCTTTTCTTTATACTATCCTCATTGTTGATTCTCTTGCTCTGTTCTCTTATACTTATTTTTAAAGATATGTATATGGCAAAATTGTATCTTATTACTTTAAGAATGTATGAATGTGTGCATGTGGATTTGAGGGATATTGTATGTGTGTACATGCCTTCAGGGATAGGCTGATATGTATATTATGTATATATATTATTTGTGGACAGAAGGTATGTCATACCATTTTCAAATCGTTTTGTTTTGAATTAAAAAACACCATAAATTAATTTTATGATTCAGTCTTCAGTGCAGGATATTTCTAAAGCTAATGCTTTTCAATACACTATTTAAATGTATTTGCATACCATTATACCCTAAAGCTTTTAGATTTCATTGTATGGCAATATTAAATCTGAATGAGCTTTATTTACTTTTAAAGTAACTAAACCAATCACAGGTGACATAAATTTGTATGACATATCTTGAACAAATGAAACCCTCTTCTCAGTAAATCTATCAATCTAATCAGGTAGAGAGAATGGAGTATGGATTGATGCTCTACACTTAAACATACTACAACTGCACTTTCACCTTCATCCCAGTATTTCCATGCTTTTATTGCCCAGGACTTCAGGGTGCTGCTGTCTGTTGTACCCTTATCCTTTCTCCTTTGCTGCCTGTTCATGGCTGGCGCTGTCACTCACATGGCGGGTGGTTCCGCATGCATGCTGCCAAGCAGGGCACTGTAGAGCAAGACTGTAGGTGGGCACTGTACATACATATTGCAGCTTTTTGTCCTAAGCCATTGGGTTCAGGGGGTGGTTGATACAGTGCACCTTCATGTGTAAAGATCATAATAATCATAATAATAATAATAATCATATTTAGATTATGATGCTGGGGCATCCTGCACCAGTGTAATGTACTAACATTCGTTTCTCTTTTTCTGTTAACTCCCCTCTGGCTCGGATGATCCTGGTCCCTCAGCTGACCTGGCGCGTTGCTAACCCGCCCCGGGCTCCTTCTCTTGTGTCCCTCGTGTCACTACTGACCAGCACTGAGGCACCACCACCACCACCACTCCACCACCACCACCACTCACCCTAGGACACACCACTAACCGCGCTGCGCTCGGGTGCCGCAGCATCGCCCACCCGGCTCCACGATCGTCGGTACGTGCCATCGGTGCCGCTCCAATACCGCCCATGACCAAGGGCAGGTTGATGACCTATGGGTCTAATGGCCACTACACTGCCGACCCGTGTACAAGGGCAGGGCTCAGAACCTTCTGGGTGGGCACAGGGAAGCCTTTGCATAATGTTGAGGCTATGGTGCCTACGTGTCCCAACTGCCTGCCCACAGGGGCACGACAACCACCAGTTTGTCAACTAAACTTTAAAGTACTAACTTGTGTAGAGATACTAAATATTACAACAGAAACCTCTGTGACAATGTTCAAAGTCATTCCTAGGGTGGAATACTGCTCAGCTATAGGCAGCTCCTACTTAGAATCTCCAGTAACATAAGTGATGAATCTGTTTGAAGAAAATAAATTCTTTGTAATTCTGAAGATCAATTACTTGAGACTGGTACTATATAATGTGTGCATTTAGAGATGGTGCTAATGTTAAGCTTGGTCACACAGCTTTATCGTTAGGGTCTTTGTGTTGTTGGTGTTATATCTTTATTATAAATAGATTAGTAAATAGGTGTTAAAAAGAATCTCGATAGCTTCTAGTGCAAAGTGTCATGTAAGTTTTAATGTCAATCTTCCAAGCCTTGTGCTGTGATATGGGACAATTGGACCAATCTAGAGCCCATTAATATTTGGCCAATATAAAGCGCAAGTGAAGGTGCAGCTTTCTTTTAAGGACAGAAGTGATAATACAGTGTACAGAATCTGAAGAAGAATGCCAAATCATGACCAGGATGCGGGATTTAAAAAAGTTTAATGACCATTGTATTAGAATTTATTCAAAGAAAGAATATTTACTTTTGTTTTTGATCATTGAGCAGTTTATTTAAAAGTATACTTTTAGTTAAGAAGTGATTTAGATTAACCCAGTTGGTTAGTTGCTTTTCTGAATGATAAAACCAAAAGTTATATTGGATATAGATTTATGAAAAGAATCCAATACACTTGAAAACAAGGGATAACAAATATAGCAATTAGAGAATGAAGCTATATTTGTTTTCCAATGGCTGATTAAGTGTAAGGATTTGGTTGGTTGGTGTAATTTAGTGTAAGTCAGATTGGTTATTAGACCAAGTTAGAAGTGCCTTAATTTACTAGATGGGCTCCTCAAACTACTAAGGTTTTCTTCAGAAATGACTATTGTAATTCTCTCTGAATGCCCTCTATAGTGGAGCCCAGTGGACCTCTTATGTAGAGATTAATGTGCCAATAGGAAAATAAATTATGATGTGGTAAGTAGCTGTTAGCCTCTTGTTGTTACTCAGGCGGGTTCTTGAAGAAAGCGAAGAATTGGGAAACTGTTTACCACACTTCCTGAGGTTAGCAGGTTGCTATGGTGCGACGGTCATTGGCGAATATTAGCAGGTGAAGGTGTGACACTTGTGTACATAGTTGTTCATCATCTCATTATTGTACTTAACCATTTATTGTACTTAAGCATGGATCTATGCAATGACAATTAAATGAGAAGCATTTTGGGGGGTAGAAAGCCTAATGTACGAAGGTCATTTCTATTTTAGTTTTCCCATTGTCGCTGTTGTTTGTGCCATACTTGGATGTTTGGAAAGCATCCAAGATTCGCCTTCGTCTCAGTATGTGCAAATATTAAATGTAAGTAGTTGTACTTACCAGACGTATCAACAGGTAGTTGTGTAAGTAGTACGTATTATGCATTAACATCAAACCATGTTAGGGTGGAGGTTCCTTTTTCATCACTTGTGGATAAGCTGTTGTACGCACATGTGCCAATTTTTTGTATAGGATATAAATTCATCCCTGTTAATAAGCCTTCCTCTTTTGTTGCCTAATCTTGGTTGTGACTTCCCCAGAGCTTCAGTTGCAGGAGTTCAAGTTTTGAGTCTATATTTCAGTTTTTAGATATTTTTCTCATGCATGTAATTGGATATGTACTTGGTGTACAAGAATGTATACTCAGAATAATCTAAAAAAAAAAAAAGTGTTAATGTTAATCTGGTAAGTGAAACTAAATGTATAATTATTTAAGCACAAGAATCTCAGTGTTCTAGATGTTATTTTTTTTAGTAAGTATGAAGCCTCCTGTTGAAATATATTTTGGTGCTACCCCACATATGCCAGCTAGTGAGGAGAGCGTAGTAACCACCCGTCCTGTTTGCATATGTCTGATAGTCATGCTGGCCCTGAGCTAGTATTCTTTGCTTCATTGCTTTTACACCAACTCGATAATCATACTCATTGTCACAAAAAAGGTGAACGACAAAGCATTTCTTTAAGAAAAAAATAAATCATTTCTGTGATTCTACACTACTTAATGAAGCAAGACCTTTTGACAGTTCAGGTACAACATGACTGGTGTTGTTTTGTGACTCCTGTACAGTGCCTGCTCTGGTACTTGTCTTTGGATGCGTCCGGATGATTGTGTCATATTGCTCACTCATAAGAATGAAGTTTTATTTCATTTTTGATGGAAGCTTGTAAATTATGAGATATAGAATATTAAATAATTTCTTAATATAAGAAAATTTAAAGAATACAATTGTTTTTTACTCATTATCAAAGAAATTCTTGTTTGGCTCAGTTCATAGATGGATAATAACCCAGAATATTTTTTGTTACAAACACTTGCAGGAAAATACATGTACATAATATATCAAAAACTTAACTCACATTGCCCTAAACCTTTATCAAAATATCTAATAGAAGATTTATGTTAATAATGGCTTGTTAATTGAACTCACAATCATGGGAATGGTATCACTGTGACGGTGGACTACTTACAGAACACTCAAGTTGGACAATGCATTTTAATCCTCAAGATGCAGAATGTATTTCATTTTATAATCTCCTATTCTCTATAATATAAAAATGTTTCGTACAAATCCTGTGTTTAACTTGTCCCTTTTCCATCTTCCTTTGAGCTACTAATGTTTTATATTTACTAATATAGGTGGTAATGAAAGGTCTAATCATTATACTATATGCATGGCAACTAGCAAATGCTTTATATCTAAGATTCTTGGCATATTCTTCTACAGGCCTCTGATAATACTGACTTCCAAAAACTAATATTATTACTAACTATTAAAAGATTTTCATTATGGGGCATTATCTATGAAATATTAGAGTGAAATGTGAACATACTATATACTCTGAACACACTACACACATTAAAGGTAAATACATGAGACTAAATAAAGGATTTGAAAGTTCAGCCAAACAATATTATTGTGGTGGTGTAATTCAGGAAATGAAATTATTATACAAATTACTGATGAGGTGAGAAGATGTGAAATTGTGTATCATGTTTGGATAAGAAATCCTTTGGCAAGCTGGATTATTCAGCAGCTCAACTCTACCGAACCTCAAACTAAAGGACATGGAACCAAGAAGAATATGATTTTTTTTTTTTTTCAGGACATTGTTACTTTGTTAAAGTAAGTATAAATCGAGTCATTAAAAGCAGTTTTGATTGTTATTGATAAAAAACATGAAATTTGTATATAGGTATTTATAATTCAGTTTTAGTTTAATATAAACTTGGACTATAGATAGATAGGTAGATAGGCCAAAACTAACTTAAAGTACTGGTATATCATAAAAATGATGAAAATGCATTTTTAATATAACAATTGTTTTTATTCAAAGATGGCTCCACAAGTAAGAAGTCACCAGTGAGCCAGTTACGAGTAGTACCTGTTTCACCTGTTTACCCTTTTTCTTGATTTTCAAAAATATTTTCTGACATCTGATATTTCAGTTGGTAATATCATAACACTATAGTAATTATGATATCTATAATAAAAGTAACAGTATCAATATTGATAGCTTTTGTAAAAAAAAAAAAAAAAAAAAAAAAAAGTCCTGGAAACTCAAGGCAAGGTGAAGTCAGGTGAAGTTAGTCTACTCATTGGCTCCTTTGTGGCTATGCACTTGCAGAGCCATCAATGCACTGAGACTTTCCACAGAATATTACTACAGTGAATCTCATATTTTCCCGGAGGCATTGGGTTGAAATATCATTTTACAGAGACAGTAGAAAAAAGCCAAAGTGTGAAGAATAGAGTATATACTCCACTTCGGTTTCTTAACGTTATGAAGAATTATTGTCAGTATCCAAAGGTTTCAGTAATAAAGTCATAGAAATGGTTGCCCACAAGAACGATGGCAACCTTATACTGTAGACACTATCCCAGTGCAAAATACTATAGCCAAGATTCTGGTGAATAAGTACTGTGATGGTAGCCATAATGACAATTTGAAATATATATTATACAGTAGAACAGAGACGTTACATGAAATGATGGGCATTGCCTTTAAAGAATGAAAGAAGGAAAAAGAAAGAAGACATAATTAACCAAATTAAGTTCAACACATTAGAGAATTTTGGATGAAAATAGTCACATTACTTTGGAAGTAAAGTCACATCATATTGAAAGTAGATATTTTAAAAACAAATTTTACACTGTAGCTAACAAAATAGTCCAAAAGTACGATGACTATTTCATTATGGAAAGTGTGTATGTAGGTCCGTACAATCCCAGGTAGTAAGCATCACTATTTATAAGGAAGTAAAAGAAGATATTTTGTGTCTCTGTCTGTCTGTCTGTTTCTCTATCTGTCTGTCTGTCTGTCTGTGTCTGTGTCTGTGTAGTGAGAAATATGTATATGTATAATATATATATATGTATATATATACATATATGTATGTATATATATACATATATGTATGTATATATACATATATATGTATGTGTATATATATATATATATATATATATATATGTATATGTATATATATATATATATATATATTTAATATATATATATATGTATGTATATATATATATATATATATATTATATATTAATATTATATATATATATTTATATATATATATTATATATATATATATATATTATATATTATATATATATATATATATATATATATATATATATATATATATATATTTATATGTATATGATATATATGCATATGTATTGTATATATATGTATATGTATATGTATATATATATATAATATATATATATATATATATATATATATATATATATATATATATA